AAGTATTTTCATCCACAGGAATTTATTTTAGATTTTGTCGATTTCAAAAATCCATGACTTTGAATTATGGAATTAAATTCCTAATGAAAAGCTTATCGTGTTGTGCGCTGAGTGTATGCTCAAAATCAGCCAAACATCTATAGGAAACAGAATCCATAACCCTGCCTTAGTCAAACTGTATTAGTGAACAGAGAAATTTTGCGTGCAAGCTATGGTCACCACTCTTTCGGGCCACCTGTATCTATATAAAAATCCGACCACCGCTTTTTCAAACACCCCATAAGTGTACAATCATCCGGACGCTCATTTTTTTGTACTTTGTTATCGACTTGTTCGGTGAATTTCCTTGTGATACAGAGAACACGGCTCACCTTAGGACGGTAAGGCAACCGATCGAACTAGACGACGTTGAAGGCGAGCATCCTTTAGCCTTGTCATCTACCTCCTGTTAATTATTTTCCGGCATATTTTAGGACGACAAAAATAATGCTTGATACATGCATTAAGTCCGTCGGGGATAAGGCTAATCAAAGTACGTTTACAAGGCTCTTTATGCTAGACTTAGACAGCCTTAAAAAAAGTTATAACCCCACGAAACGTTGGATCTATCGACTATTGCTTCCGGTACAAGCTTCCTGTAGTCACTATCTTCGGCAATAAAGGTCATTTCCATTAATGGGTGATTGCCAAACTCAAATGGTAAGATGATGGATGGCGTATGATTTTGGGGGCGCTTGCACGAAAGGGCCTTCCGCTTGTCAGCGGGGCGGGGTTTCCAGAGCTTTTCGGTGATCCCGTGCTGCCCTATGAAGAAATGTAAACGATTTTATAGCATTCTACAACACTTATAAATCTTTCCATATTCTTTTACTTTTTGGTCAAAGATCTATGACAAATGACCAAAATTTTTAAATTGCCAAAACTCAGCTGGGCGAAAAGTAAACTTGCTGTAACCGTTTTGTTGACCGTGGGATTTCGATACGTGAGATAGGACATTTGTGCAGATTTGCTCGCTGATTCGAATCCGTTTCAAAAGTTGCGGAACCCCTCTAGTTAAAGTACAGCCGGTTTTCTACACTCAATTCCTGAAATTACAAGCATTAAATCCTTATAAAAAACTCGTAGAACATTTTGTGGGATAAAAATACAGCACTTCTAGGGAAATAAAACGTGGCGCCTCTTTCGAATGGGCTCCTCACCAACCCCGTAGCTCAAAATTCTATGGAAAAGTTTTTCAGTGGATCTATTCCCTCCTGGATGGCAAATTTTGAACTTGTGAATTTTGAGCTACGAATCTCGTGAGGTAGCCCATCGAAAGAGCACGTTTTTTTATCCCTAGAAGTGCTTTATTTTATCCCACAAAACTTCTACGAGTTTTATAAGGATTTAATGTTTGTAATTTTCAGTCATTTGGGTAGAAACCGGCTGTAACTTTCAACTAGGAGGGGTTCCGCAACTTGAAAACTGATTCAAATCAGCGAAACTTCTGCATAAAATGTGCTATCTCACGTATCGAAATCCCACGGTCAACAAAAACTGGTTTACAGTTAGCTTCCCCGATACGGCAGCAACCACAGTGGTTAGCTTACGGGTATAATAAAGTAACTCACGAAGGCATGCACATTGGTCGTGTCCATGAGGCAACTGCAAGGTCCTCGGGGCGGATCATCAGGAATATTTCCAGTCACGACAGGCGCACCATCGCGAATCGATGAACAACCGCGCCCAAATTTCCGTGTGCTTACAGGGTCGGCTCACAAAATCCCCCTCCCAATCGGTCCGCAGAGGGTCCGATTTTGATGCTTTAAAATAAAGGGGCGGCATAAGTCAATCGATTACACGCGGGAAAAATGTCTCCGTGCCTCTCCCCTGGGCGCCCTCTCTCGCCGCTGCATCTGTTGACCCCCTCCCAAGGGAAGGGGGGTCAAGAAAATGCCGTCCTCATCCCCTTTAAGAATTAATCGAAAATTCTCGACAGGGCGAGGCGGACATGTTTTTGCCGATTTTCAAAATCCCGGATTTTTTTGCTGGATTTCGGTCGATCAATCAGCATAGCTTCACGAAGCGCCTTGTACATAAAATGCGCAATAATTCCGATATTTCGAAGATCTGAAAAAGATAGCTACTAATTATGGCCTGAGTTTTAATTGATACATAAGTCAAGAAAATCGGACAGTCTCAAGACCGCTGGGGAGAGGAGGGGGCGGGGGTACGGATAGAGGGGCTCCCCCGACAGTTGCGGCCCGACCATTTGCGGCCCGACACTTGCGCCCGACATTTGCGGCCCGTCCTATTAAGCCCGTTTTTCCCAATATAAAATTAGACAGAGGGTTAGTAAGGGTCTAAAGCATTTTCAGGCAAGGCGGGCCGCAACTGTCGCGTCCGCAAGTGACGGGCCGAAAATGTCGTGGCACCGGGAGAGAGTTGGTAGAATCATGTTGTGATCATGGGGATCCAGTGATCATCTGGAAACCTGGTAACTTCCCTAGGGCCCGGTAATACCAATTGCCAATTCTGTTTGCCTTTGATGTCTTGGAAGCTTCGAGATAATGAATTTCGAAATAATGGCTTTGAGGAGGTTCATTTGAATACCGGGATAGGTAAGCGTGAACCAGCAATACAGCACCCGAGGAAAAGAGCTCAATTTCGAAGCGGCTCATGATTTCCCCTGTTTGGAAATTTTGGTAAGAGTCTAGAAACCCCCCCAGCCGGCACCAACTTTTGTATCTCGGGCCGAGATACAAATTCTCAATTCTCGGCCCCCCTTTGTGCTAGCGAGCTCTAAAGTATACCAAAATGTTCGCCGTAGGCTAATTAGTAAGACTACACTGCATTTCAGTCGAAAAAAGTAGCGAAAAATAAAGATAAGAAAGGTAGAAAAGTTGAAAAGTCGGCTGGGGGGTTTCCTAGCCTTGAGCCCGAAATTTTTATGGTTGACCAGCGCCCAAAACCCGCTTCGCGGGCCTTGGGCGCTGGAATGCGGCCTTTGCATGAGAAATTTGACTTTCCGAGAGCTTGGGTCCATCGGCCACACCCGCGCGTGCAACTTGCAAGAATGAGGAAATTTGTATTTTTGGAATTATACAAAGTAGCCCTCCCCTGGCGCCGGACACACACACAAAGATACGCGACCAAATTATATAAGGTAGGATATTTTGATACTCTTGATTAGGCTACGGTTTACTTTACCCCCAGCCGGAAGTTTTTGGCTATAACTTTTTTATTTTACCTTATTGTTGGCTCAAATTAGCTCTTAGTATATTTTTCGACGCTCTATCGAATGGCGTTGCAAAAATCCCGACAAAATAAGCGAAAATACCGAAAACTTTGAGACCCTCTGCTGTGGGGGTAAAGTAAACTCTACCCTTGATTATTGATATTCCGATGTTTTTGTTTTGATAACCCACCACTCTGGATCGCTTCGAGCATATGGCCAGCGTCTTTTTGAACGTCTCGCGTGGGACGTGAGTGCAATAGGTAGTTGAGCGCCGTCATAATATCCAAATTTCGCCACGGTTGGTCACCAATAATTTCTATTGGGGCGTCACTGCAAAATTGGAATTTTGTCAATGAAAAAGCGACGTTTCGAATTCCCGATTCGACCTCTCGATCGATCTCTCTCGATCCCTGATTATTTTATCGATTTTGCCGCAGAGGCGACGCCACCAATCCCAATCGATTCATCGCGAACGAATACGCTGATTCGATTCGATGATTTCGATGACTCGATAGCAGCTGAACTTACTCGAAGGGATGCGCCCAGATCCTGCTCGTCAGCGGCTCGAACTGGACTACCAAGTTCCCGCTGGTTCCAATCCAGCGTAGCACCATCTGAAATTATTTGCATACATTTTCGGAAAACTGACTTTTCGAAAAAATTATTTTCGGCAATATGACTTTCAAAAAATGATCGCCGGCCTCTGAAATACCATCAAAACAATGCGTAGGCTTGAGCTTCAGCCAATTTAAAACCTAGGCATAGGCTTAAGTTTATTTAGGCTTTGCTTAGGCCTAGGTTTACGAGGATTGGTTTTTACGCCCTCTTAGTTTTCAGATGCAGCACGGCTCCTTCGATGAGCTCGAAATTCTGAAAAAAAACCGCTGACCTATAGGGGTCTTCGATAAAAAGTCTCTCAAGGCTTTCCCTTTGTTCAGCGTGGGCCAAAAAGCGCCCTTTTCAGCAAATTTTCTCCTAGACAGTAGTCTTTCAGTAAATTTAGATGGAACTTGGTCAGAATTCCAAGCTCGATCGATTGAGCTACGTCACATCGCAAAATTCAAAAAGCACTGGAAATGCCTAGTGCTTCAGCTTAGGCTTAGTGAACTACGCCCACTTCTCTATCGACGAATTCGCACCGGAATTCGAGCCAAGGCGTGTCCATCAACGTGGCCATTAGCGAGCCATTACGAAATATCTGCAAGCGTTCGAAAATTTGGGGTCGCATGAGGACTACTGACCTTACTAGCATAACATAGCTTGGCCCGCTCTGCAAGGGAAACCCGAGAAAGAACAGCTTCATGTTGTTGCCGGGGGAGATTCCGAAAGGGTATTTTATTGCAGCGGCCCACCTCATCGCTGTCCATCTACCTAAAGTTAGCCGAAATAGTGTCCGTCTATGTGTCTGTGACACTTCAGACAATGTCCTTCAGGGTTTCTGGGAGAGATCTCGATAGGTGAAGGATTCGAAGATATGGGTGGTAGGGCAGCAGATGTGGCATAGGCCCGAGATGTCCGCGCACTTATTAAAATACGGAAATGCGCGATTTTCGGAGATCAAATTCAATTTTCGTACGTGTGTGTGTGTGTGTGTGTGTGTGTGTGTGTGTGTGTGTGTGTGTGTGTGTGTGTGTGTGTGTGTGTGTGTGTGTGTGTGTGTGTGTGTGTGTGTGTGTGTGTGTGTGTGTGTGTGTGTGTGTGTGTGTGTGTGTGTGTGTGTGTGTGTGTGTGTGTGTGTGTGTGTGTGTGTGTGTGTGTGTGTGTGTGTGTGTGTGTGTGTGTGTGTGTGTGTGTGTGTGTGTGTGTGTGTGTGTGTGTGTGTGTGTGTGTGTGTGTGTGTGTGTGTGTGTGTGTGTGTGTGTGTGTGTGTGTGTGTGTGTGTGTGTGTGTGTGTGTGTGTGTGTGTGTGTGTGTGTGTGTGTGTGTGTGTGTGTGTGTGTGTGTGTGTGTGTGTGTGTGTGTGTGTGTGTGTGTGTGTGTGTGTGTGTGTGTGTGTGTGTGTGTGTGTGTGTGTGTGTGTGTGTGTGTGTGTGTGTGTGTGTGTGTGTGTGTGTGTGTGTGTGTGTGTGTGTGTGTGTGTGTGTGTGTGTGTGTGTGTGTGTGTGTGTGTGTGTGTGTGTGTGTGTGTGTGTGTGTGTGTGTGTGTGTGTGTGTGTGTGTGTGTGTGTGTGTGTGTGTGTGTGTGTGTGTGTGTGTGTGTGTGTGTGTGTGTGTGTGTGTGTGTGTGTGTGTGTGTGTGTGTGTGTGTGTGTGTGTGTGTGTGTGTGTGTGTGTGTGTGTGTGTGTGTGTGTGTGTGTGTGTGTGTGTGTGTGTGTGTGTGTGTGTGTGTGTGTGTGTGTGTGTGTGTGTGTGTGTGTGTGTGTGTGTGTGTGTGTGTGTGTGTGTGTGTGTGTGTGTGTGTGTGTGTGTGTGTGTGTGTGTGTGTGTGTGTGTGTGTGTGTGTGTGTGTGTGTGTGTGTGTGTGTGTGTGTGTGTGTGTGTGTGTGTGTGTATGCATTTGCATGCAACTTCCGTCAGCGTGTTCCAGTATTATCTCAAGAAGGGGGCAGTTAAGGGATATGTTTTATACCTCATTAGGTGCGTAATGGCCGTGGGATGACTGAACACCCATAAAATTTCCAAAAATTCCGTGTTTTGGATGTTAAAATTAATTTTTTCTTGAAAAATCGAGAACCCTCTTTGTTAGGAAACAATTAGCATACGCCGGAAGTGCGGTAGCCTATATAAGAGAAGAGAGGTCCCGTTTCTCATTTTTTGTCAGCGAAAATCGCGTGAATTATGCAAAGGGACGAATATCATGGGATCAGATGGGCCAGGGTTGAAAAGTCGCGAAGCGGCTTTTCAACCCTGGTCGTGATATATGCTTATCTGGATAGAAAAGAGGCTGAAGAGCTGCAATTCATTTTTGCAAGGCAAGATGCATGCAAAAAATCGAAGGGTTCGCGAGCCACGGTTGAAAAGGCGTGATGCTAAAACAGAAACCCGTTCTTAGACAAGTAAGAACGAGCTAGCGGATCAGAAGGTATGACCTGGTGCGGGCAAGTAATCGATTTGGCGCTGAATTGACCTGCGGGCATGTTAACCAGATGTATCCGATCCCTGTTCATTGCTATTGACGAAAAAGGCGCGTGCGCGTTGCGTATTGGCTAGTGTGGGAAGAGCCATAGGGGATTCATAGCGACAGCAATAGCCATGCCATGTCCCCCCTTTTTTCAGGGATGCGGACGGCATAATTTTTAAAGGATTAAGAAAGCCACAGTAGTAGACTTGATCATTTTGGTATCCGGATCCTATCCGGGTAACATCCGGATACGGGTTGCATCCCTACCCACCGCATTAGCACCGCATTGGATAAGGCTACTATCCACATTGGATACGGCAGTATCCATATCCGTAGAATAAATTTTTCCGGACAAGGGTATGGAGATGGCTACGAATGCGGATACTTGGGGTACTTCCAGTTTTTGATGCAAAGCACGATATTCATTTTTGTTTGGTATGGAAAGGACTATCGTCAAAATTTAGATTTCGAGCCCTATGCAGCTACTAGTTAGATCCGCCCACTAACAATAAGCACCTCAGTCGCATCGAATCCGCGCTCATAAACAGGGTATATTCATCATGCTATCCGATGTGAAACCACGTTAAAGTGAGAGGGTCTTCAATTCTTCGAGACCGGACTGTGGTGGCTAGCTGTGGCGAAGGGACGCCATAAACCGTCCCATCAGTACGATTGTAAGATTTGCAAGATTCCCCGCCCTTTTCGGACGCTCGGTTCACTGACGGGTGCTGGTGCGCATGGGGGGAGGTTCGGGAGTCGCACCTGGCCATAAGCACATGCTGTCAACCCGCACATCAAGTAAGTAGAATACTATTAACATTGCACTATTTTGTTGCACCAAAAGTCAGGATGAAATGTATTTATACAACCGGGAATGAGACCATAGATATGCGATAAACGATCATACTATACTCAAAGAGCATCTACCATAAGGGCCAACATTTCCATATTTCCCTCACGTGCCAACGATTTGAGTGTTCCGAGCTGGGAGAGGCCGTCGGTGCACGAGGCGAGACGCTGGGAAGCCGAGTACGCGTTGCGGACCACCTAAAAAATGTTGTATTAAAAAATTCAAACGCTATACAAATAGAAGAAGTCTTTTCAACATTCAAAAGATAGCTTAAAAGGTTTTCTTACCTCATCATTGATTCCGGCCAACTTGGCGGCGTAGAATCCGTAGGACTTGGGGCAGATGCCCGACACGAGCCGATAGAGGAAGGTCACCGTCTCGAGCGTCGGGTCTTGCTCATTTTCGCCCTCAACCATGCATGCCTAAACCAAAGTAAAGATAGCTTATCCTTGACAAACCATATGCGCGAACGCCACTCCTGGAGCTTCGGCGAATCGCGAGCAGATCGAGTGGTAGTGCGTCGAGAAAAGCGTGCGGCACTTCAGCCCATCTGCTAGGCGGGCGAGGACAGCGGAAGCGATGGCGGTACCGTCGTGAGTGCTCGTGCCGCGGCCCAACTCGTCGATCAGCACCAGCGAGTCGGCGGTGGCATCCCGGAGCACGAGTCGCGTCTCGTGGAGTTCGACGAAGAAGGTCGATTGGCCAGCCATAATCCGGTCGTTCGCCCCGATGCGCGTGAAGATGCGGTCGATGGGGGTGAGCCGGCACTCATCGGCTGGGACCAGGCAACCCTAAATTGGATGTTTTACCAAGCATGGAAAAGTACCATATGAGCCAAGACGGCCAGAACCGCCGTTTGCCGCATCAGCGTCGACTTTCCGCCCATATTTGGCCCGGTCAGCAGCATGCAAGCCGCCACATCACCGCCCAGCCTATAAAAGCTTACAAAAAAAGGCAATTGGTTACTTGGTGTCATTCGGAATGTAGGTGCTCGTCGGGCAGGAGGATTTGGAGACGGCTGAGACGATGCCCTTTGACGCCAGACATGGGTGTACGCCCTTTTCGACGATGATGTAGGGCTAAATGAGAAGTTTAATAAAAATACAATTCTTAAAATTATTAATATACCTGTCCCGCATGGAAGTCAAACTGTGGCCGGCACATGTCGAGCGAGCAGCCTTTACAGAACTTGGCCAACGAAAAGAGGACGTCGAGCTGGGCGATACGTTGCACGACGGAGTCCCACATTTCAGCTCTAAAAGGCTAATGCTAGACAATCTGACAATTCTTACCTTGTATCAAAATCGGCGAACACGCGGCGCGTCTTGTCGGCTCGTAGATTGTCTCGGGTAGCTTCTGCCGATCCGAGCTGCTCGATCAGCTCGCGCAGATCCGGGGTGTAGTAGCGAGCGTAACCCTGAAAAACTGTATAATTTCCCATTCACTCAATCACCTTTCTACGGCCGGCCAAGTCAAAATCGTCGGACATTTTGAGGCTGTCAGGCAATTCCAGCTGGAATCGATTGCGGCCCGTACCGCAATAAGCGGCCTAAACACACAAAGTTAATAAAAAACAATTCCGTTCGACCTTGCAGCCATATTTCTTTCCGATCTTCTTCTTGTACTCCTCGAGGTCCTGGCTGGCCTTTTCGACGGCATCAAGGGCTTCGTCATATTCCTAAGCGGGAGAAGTAGTAGAGAAACCATAAATCATACCTTATCCATGCCCGGCTTTGGCACAATGATACCATCCTTTTCGGCCTGTTCCTGGTTGAATGAGGCCTAAAATGAAAAAGATAATCGAATTTTCACTGAGTCAAACCTGGAAATGCTTCAAATCCGGGGTGATGTCTGGGATGTGGTCGCCGCCGATTAGCTGATCGATGAGGGTGGCACTACAAAAAAAATATTAAGAAAAATAAAGGTTCCATACCTTTCACCATCCATCACGAATTTGTCGTAGCCTTCGACAATTCTTCTGGTCGCCTCGAATCCGCGCAAGGTCACAAGAAGATCCTAGAAAAATAATTCAATATAAAAAATTATACCAACCTTGATCTTGCGCCGGTTGTATTTGGTAGACTCGAACATGACGGCCCGGGAATCGGGGTGGGTCTCGGCTCGGTATTTGAGGCCCAGGGTGTGGATCCTAAAAGAAGGTGATCGAAAACCTAGAGCAGACTTACTTTTGTAGCAGTCGAGCCAGGTCGGGAATTCTTTTGAGCGGCTCGTCCACCTTGTCCATGAAGGCTTGGCCATCGTTGGTGAGCCATTCAATGGCATCCTGACGCGACGTTAGCGTTTCCGGGTCGCAAGTTGGCTTGCAAATCCATTGGCGAAGGAGACGGCGGCCTAAGAGAGTCAAAATTGACAATAATCGAAAGCTCTTACCAAATGGCGTCGCACAGTAGTTGACCACATTGTAGAGCGAGTACGAAGCCGTGACCGTGTCGCGCTTCCCGGCGATTTTGGCTAGAATGAATTATAATCGCCAGCCTATTAAAGCTACCTTCAACCGGGATCAGATTCAGATTTTCCAACGTCACCCCATCCAGCACCATGTTTCGTCCTTTCCATTTAGCGTCACCCGTGAGACCAGTTGCCTTCTAAAAAAGTTAAAAATTTGGTTTCTAAACAAACATGTGGCTCCAGCTCTGGATCGTATTCTTCGAAATGACGCATCGTGACCATGTCCACATCAATCAAGCAGCGTTTCAGGAACCTAAAAGGAGTAAATCAGTTTTTCCTAGAAAACTATGATACAAACCATAGCACGCCTCCGAGTGCAGTCCAAACAGCTTCAAATCGTTGGGCAGGACGGGCCACGGCAGAATTCTGGTCGAGGTATTCGTTGAGGACCTTCGGCCAGTTACTGCTGTCGGGTCCGAGGTAATTGGTGTCACACAGCTAAAAAACGGCATAGAAAGTCCTCTAAAATTCCAAATACCATTTTAACCGTAGCCTCGCCGCTCAAAAATTGCGACTTGGGGGATAGCTGCTCGCAGGGCACCGATGAAAGCATTGAGTCGATCAGATTCTTCATGGACTGCGAAGTGCCGCCACGTTCGAGAAGGACCTAAAATATATTTAAAGTTTTACGAGAATCCCACCTGCACTGGCTGGAAGCTGGCGAGTAGAGTGCGGAGTCGAGAATAGTACTCATCGTCGACGAAGTGGGCCAGAGTGAATCGTCCGACTGTCGTGTCCACCAGACAAATGCCGAACGTCGAAACATTATCAGCCGTCTAAAAACCATAAAAATTTTCAAGCCTTTACTACAATTTGCTTGATGGCGATCAAATGCTTCGACGTCGGTTCTCCGGTGACGCCACCATCCGGGGTCTCGATCATTCCGTAGGTGCGCGTGCCGCAGGTCGTCACTCGGCAGAGTTCTCTAAAAAAATAAAGATTTTAAGCCAGCCAGGTGTGAAAATTTACCTTCGGACGACTTTGTCTTTCTTGTCCTTCGGGCCTTTGCCCTTTTTCGACTGTTCCTGCCGCTCCTCCAACTGCTCCGGCGTTTCCGTTTGTTCGACGCGGGCAACCAACAAAGAAATAATATAGGAGACAACAAAGCTTTACCTTATATCCCCTCGACACCAACTGATCGGCAAATCGTCCAAAGGCGATTTCCGGAAAGCCCGTGTGCGCATATTTTCCCTAAAAATCGGATTGTTCTTTAAAATGAAATCATACCCTCATAAACGAGAGCGACAAGTGCTGGGCGGAGATGACGGCGTCCATGTGGTAGAGCTCGTAGAACTTTCCGACTTTGAAGAACAGAATGGTGTCGTAGTTCTGCGTCTTCAGCTTCCACCATTGGGTGTGACCTAAACTCGCGTTTAGAATAATGGAATTCCAGAATAACCTGGCGTTTGCTTCTCCAGAAAGTCGTTGGGGATCCATAGCGTGCTCGGGTCGTACTCCGGATCGTCGGGGCGACGCCTGTTTGCATCACGGATCTTTTCGGGCTAAAATCAATTATACAAAATGCAGAAACGCTGATTTTACCTTCAAAAATTCAAACGTCTCGTGCTCATAGGCCATGTCGCCATCGATATCAAGGTCATCCACGTCAGCCCGCTTTTTGCTCGACTTCGGCTTGTCGTCGTCCATCTGGTAGATAGTTCTATCCAGGGTGCACATCGAAGCATCCTAGAACCTCGATTATACAAAAAAACGGCTGTGCTAACCATTTCGTCATCTTCACTCTTGCGGAACGAGTTGATGAAAGAGCCGGCAAGTTGCGTGCTCAACGCGGCACGCCCGGGTGTAGTAGTCGATCTAAAAATCTTGTAAGGAAAGGAAGATAAATATACTTTTTAGCTTCTAGATGCGAGCGTGGAGTTTGCGGAGTCTTTGGAGACACGGCAAGGAACTAAAAAGGCTGATATCTAGCATAGAAAGGTGATACCGAAGGCTTATTCTTGTGCCTGGGAGTAGATGTGGGCTCGGGCGGGGTTTTGTTTTCTCCGTCCGTCTCCGAGGAGGCTTTTGGCTCGGGCTAAAACAGAGTTTACACTTTTCTAAAGTCCAAACCAGGTAATCCTCATCATCACTCGACACGATAACACGGCGACGGGTCTTCGGCTGACTCAGCTGCTCTTCGTCGGAGTCATCGGCAGCCGGCTGTGACCTTTTGAGGGGGCGGCTGACTGGAAATAAACTGTGAATTGATAAAGACAACTCCAACCTCTTGGTGAAGCAGTGTCACCGGCGGCTCGCAGCGGCTTCTTGGTCTCTTCTTTCTTGACCTTTGGCGAGGGTTTTGGGGAAGTCTCTTCCTTCGGGGGGCCGTTGCGCTGGAAGAAGCTCAGGAGGTTGCTTTGCTTTCGAGCAGACATCCTGCTGAAAATCTGAATATTAGGAAGGTCCTATAGAAAGAGAACAAAGTAAAAATAGAGTTCTGTAAATGAAAAAAAAAGCAAAGAGGAAGAACGGATTCCGGGGAGCCACCAGAAGTCATAATGTTACGGTATTGCTTGCTAAACTGTGCATAAGCAGCTTAAATGGCCGATCAGGAACAGATTTCGCGTTTCTAAAACGTGGATCGGCTCGATCACGGCTCCGTCTATAGAACCCTTCCAATTTTGATGTTTTCAAGAAGCTTTCATGCATAAAAACCCAAATAAGGTTAGTTTTTGTCACTTTCTCCTTGTTTTCCGACTTCTTATTTGTCCCCTTCAATTTCCCGCACTTCCCAATGCGGGGCTATAAGCCGGCCACGAGACCGTAGACACTCCGCTCTTTCAGCTGTCGCCCGCAGGCGTATTGAAGGGGCCAGTGAGGCGCTGCCGGTGGCCTTGGTGGTTGGGCCCCGGCGGCGAGCAGATGATCTTCCGGTGGGACCCGTGCGGCATCGCCTGTGTGCTGCTCATCTACGTGGCCGTCGTCTACACGGAATATGCCATTGTCTTCTGGATGTTGCGGCCGACGTTTGGGGAAACGTAAGTTTGTTTTTGTCAACATGTATTTTGATGGGTTTCATAATCTTTTTCAGGCTCTGGGGAACGATCTACGTCGCGATTTTGAACACATTGCTTGTGCTTGTCGTCATCTCGCATGCTCGGACGATGCTCACAGACCCAGGAGTTGTTCCGATAGCTAAAAATTCGTGAGTTTTTAAGATTTTTTGAAAAAATCAGTTGAAAGTTTCGATGTATATAGTGGTGCTTGTCTGAAGCTAAAATTTCTACTTTAGGGCAACCAATAACAGACGAGGAACGCGAGACGACGGTTCTGATTCCTCGGGAAATGACAGTGAACAAGAAATGATGATGATGCGAAGGGATAATGACCCGAGGGTAATTTTTTAGAAAAACTACGTCTTCGGGAGATTCCTCGAAGCTCCTTTCTAAACTATTTTTATTTTCCTTTCCAGGGCGAAGAATGGACGGTTTGCACTCGTTGCGAGACCTTCCGGCCTCCTCGAGCTCATCATTGTCGAATTTGCCGGAGATGTATCCGGAAAATGGACCATCATTGTAAGAAATCCTCAAAAACGCTAGATGGTGCTTTAGGTCCCTGGGTCAACAACTGCGTCGGCGAGTACAACCAAAAATTCTTCCTGCAATTCTTGTTCTACGTGGCGCTAACGAGCGGCTTTTCGTTAGGGTGAGTCTTTGCCGTATTCAATTTATTTTATAGTTTTTTTTAGATCCGTAATGTTATCCTGGGCCTACCACAATGAAAACTGGAGCACCGGAGCCAAGGGACCAAACGGGCCAAATGTGCACCACGCGAAAGTGTAAGTTTTGGAGCGTGTTGGCGGAAAAACAGTTTTTTAGACTTCACACCATCGTGCTTTCCATCGAGTCGCTACTATTTGGGATGTTTGTGATAGCTGTTTCTTGTGATCAGGTAGATTTTTACTAGCTCCATCAAATCTTTATTTTTCTGTAATAGTTCCGGCGTTTGGTATATTTATTAAAAATTAATAAAACAGGTTTTTGGCCGAAAAATCTCGATTTTCGCCGAAAAATCAAACTATTAAGCGGTTTCTAGAATTTTTAAAGCCGGGTTGCTATTTCAAATGGAACTAAACTTGACTAATCGCTTTTTGAAAAGCTTACTATCTTATTACTGTGAAGTTGAGAACCAATAAATCATTTTTTTAGCTACAAGCAATCTGGCACGACGAGACGGCTGTTGAAGCAGTTCAGCGACGAGGACTGCGCTCAACGCGAAGAAAGAAGTCGTCCTGGGCTGCGCTGACTCAAGTCTGTGGTCATGGTCAGTTTTCGCTCCCCTCCTTCAAATCTTCATTTAGGCGGACTACTTACATGGCTGCTCCCCTGCTCGAGCGGGCCGCGCATCTCCGAATTCAGCCCCGGCGACATCCATACTCATTTTACCGTCTAATATCGCGGCTTCACCACCTTTGCCCTCCAAAAAACCTCAAAAAGGCCCATCTTTACTTTGCTCTGTGATTCAAGTGATCTCCTTTACATGTTTTCCTGTAGTTATCTGTACGTATGCGCGCGCGTTTTGCCACTCGGAATTCGTCAAAAATGAAAGAAGATTCCCCCAACGGGTCCCCCGATCAACAGCCAATTAGTGCTAAAATTTTGCGACAAGCCTTAGCCCCCCACGCCCACCCTGTTTCCTCGCGGGTTTTGCTTCGAGCGAGAGTGTGTTCACAGTGCCCAAAAGTTTTTCCTTTGACTAACCTAATATTGGATGTGTTCTGTTTTGCAGGCATGTGTGTCTGTTTTTGTGTTGCGGTGGTATAAATTATAACAATTTTATAGGCGGTTAGATGAGGATACCGAGTAGAGTTGACAAAACGCCGCCAGTTTGTGGCTGGGCACCGTAGTAATTGTTTGGGTATGGTTGAGCGCCTGAAAGTAGAATTTTTAATTAGGTACTTTTGCATTATCGGGGGAGACTAGTTTTCTAATCTAAAAAAGGGAGTGTTTCTAAACCGATTTTAGATCCCACCTTGATAGCCGTTGCCCCAATACGGATAGTAAAACTTTTGCAACATCATGTTCGGGATTCGGCTCATTTCCGCGCCGAAGGGATAATTGCTGTATACCCCTAAAATTTAGTACTTTCTGTAAAGTATCTACTTGGAACTCTACCTGGATATTGCGGGGTATAACCCGGGTATCCTCGCCGAGGATAAGGGAGATTTTTAGGGTACATCACTGAAGAAGAATACTCATTCCCGCGGCCCTGGTAGTATCCAGATTTCGGGTTCGTCTCATTGGAGAAGCCGGTGATGGCCGCTTCAGCTAGGATGAATAGCGGGATGACGAGTAGTAGATGCATCACGTTTCGCGACATTTCGGGTAGGGGGTGGCCCGTGATGGATCGCGGGGTATATGACGGGTTGTCACAATACACCCCGGCTCGATATCATCCGGATTACGGACGCCGGGGCATTTTGCATACGTGTTTGGGGATACCTAGATGTTTCGAGTGGTTGTATAGGGCGAAAAGATAAAGATTAATATGGTTTGTTTAGCGATGCGTGACGGGATTCGAGAAAAATAGCGTTTGAAAGTTTGAAAAAAACTTAAATAGGCCATGAAAACTGTATTTTCATCTAGAAAAAACCAGATGTTACTAATTAAGCTACTCTATGGTTAAAACTTGTTTAAAATCAGTAATTTACCAAAGAAAAAAAATTATCTAGTTTTCGGGGGTGAAACCTAGGAAAAGTGTAGTTTTATCTAGAAACAGCTAGGTTTTGATTAGTCTCTCTAGTTTTAGAAGGTTGAAACATCACAAAAAGCAGAAATCATGAAATAAGTGTTAGCGCGTAGCCTGCGCGTGCGAATTCGACCAATTCGCTCTGAAATGCAATAACCTAGCGCTCTTCGATATTCTAGACTCGTCGAGCGGTTTTTTTAGTAAAACTAGAGTTACCTTATGTATTTTAATCAATTTTCAAGGCATAAGCCCTTCTTCGGCTTTGTTGTTTCTTTTCATCATTGCCGGGGGCGATCTGCCATCATTTCCAGTCGGAACCCGGGGGTGTTGGTTCTCGTCGGCGCGCCATATCGTTTCGTTGCTTTTTTGGGGACCGGATCCGCCCCCATATAGAGGCTCCAAGCAGACGCTCGTCGCCCAGCTGCTGGTGAAAGTTTTCTTTGGGGGAATCCCCCTTGCCATAAGCATACCACAGCCCGATCGGCGCTTTTCCTTTTATAGATGAGCCGCTAGATTGAATATTTTGATCTTTTAAGCTTACCGATAATTTTGAAGTCCACGTTTTACTCTCTTTATTTATTTCGATATTTTAGCTATTTTCCGAATTTTTGAACGCCATTCGATGGAGCCTCAAAAATACATTACCTTTTTACCGTGAGCTCAAGATATTCTACCGGAACAATTTAGAACAACAGTAAAACTAAGGATTGAAAATAGGTTTGCAGGGCTTCTTTTCGACAATTTCGCTAGGTTTTCAACATTTCAACATTACGAGATTCCATAGATAGGTTGCCGGGATTTTAGCTTTTGGTATTCTAGCTGTCGGTATTTTGAAATTCGCGATGGATTGCTGTCGGGATTTTAACCGCCATGATCTTAACTGTCGGTATTTTGGCCATCTGGTTTTGGCTTTCGGCATTCTGGCCTATCGGTATTTTGCCATATCGCGATTTTGATTGTCGGCATTCTGGCATGTCGGGATTTTCTCTGAGGCCTAAGCGATGCTCAGTTATATTAGGCAATTTTCTCAGAAGCCGACAATGTACCTGCCCTCACTCGCCTGCCATGCTCTCAATCTATTTTCCACTCACACACGTCAGTCAACGCGCGTAATTTCCTCCAGCCAATGGGGAGCACGAGAAGGAGGAGAAGGAGGAGGGGAATCACAATATTTTCCGATGTGGGGGCGGGCTAATTTTGGATGATGACAATTAATTGGTAGTTTTAAGGCCGATTTTCTCTAAATATCGACTTTTAGACTTTGGGACATTTTTAAGCGGCCCAGAAAATCATAAAATTGACCGGAAATAAATCAATTTGTAGCTTCAAAAAGCTTTTAAGGGCTCTTGCTTCTGGTCGACAAAATTTGTTTCCAGGCCAGCGCTTTGTCGAGATTTTTCTCTCGGCACAGAAGCTTTTTTTATATGGCGTTTCTATCCAAATTTTTTTATTATTTTTATTTTTTCCATTTTTTCGATATTTTTTTCAGTCTACCGGCGCTTTGATGTGCACTGTAATGGTTTTTTTTCAACTTTCACGCTCCCTGTAAAAGACCAAAAATAGAGGGTTCAAAGTGCGCGCGTGGGCTATGCCTTGGAAATATGTTATGCTGCCAGCCCTGTGATGGCAAGTGGCAAACAGGCGGTCGACAAGACGATCTATGACGTGACACCATCGTTTTTCCGCGATTTCGCATAGGGGATGGCAGGGAAGGGAGTTAGTGTCAGTCAGCTGTCCTCTCTCTCTCTCTCTCTCTCTCTCTCTCTCTCTCTCTCTCGGCTGCGGTTACACCCCCAGGTGAGAGCTTGAGTACGACTTTAAAGTCTGTTCCGCTGTTCCTGTCTCGATAACCGTTCGCTTAGGCTTAAACTCAGGCTTAGAATTCAGCTACGGTGCAGCTCCACAAATTTTCTATCCCAGCTTCTCAGAACGAAAATTAATATTCCAAAGTCTTTGGGATGGGAAAGTGAAATGTGGTGAAATTTTGAATTCTCTCTCTCTCTCCCTCTCTCTCCTTCTCTCTCTCTCTCTCTCTCTCTCTCCCGTTCTTCTTATGACAAATTTTTGAAAAGGACTGTATTTTAGTCAGTCAACGCGTTTTGACTCGACTTTTAACGGGACCAGGAAGGCAAAAAACTCCTGCAGCATGCGGAATTTCGTAATTAAAAATCTTGCCTTTCTATTCCCTTTAAAACCTATCGATTACCATACCATATGACCAAGCTCATCTTGCCAAGGTGTTGTTCAAAAGCCCTAAGCTTCCAACAGATAGGCCCCGGGGTTCTGCCCCTCCCCGGGGGAGTATTATGAAGCTTTGTTTCCGGGTTTTGGTTCCTTTTCGGAAGGCTTCTCCTGAAGCTTCTTGCTCCCCTAAAGGCATCAATCTGTTCGGGCGGGGCCAAGGACCCCACCCACACCAGTTGATGCCCCCGGGCATCAGCTCGAAGTCGGAGACCAGGTCTCTCTCTCTCACTCTCTCTCTCGCGCTCTCTCTCTTACCCATTTCACTCAAAATTTGCTGCCTTTCTTTTTATGCTAGAGCCGAGAAATCCTCGATTGTCAACCTAACCCGTTTTTCAGCCGATTGGGGGATTAGAATTAAATTTTAAAGGAATCGGGAAGGCGAAAAGCGGAAATATTTTTTCGGGCAAGCAGCCGAGCGTTTTTTAGAAGTTTAGATTGAAATTCACGGGAGCAAACTTCAATTTTTCCCTTGCTCTCTGCCTTTTCCCTATCTCACTCACAAGGAGTCGCTTTTAGGTGCTTTTGGAGTTTCGGGACGGGACCTAGCTAGTTCGATAGAGAGAAAAATTTTGAGCAACATCCCGTTTTCAAAAAGTGCTGATCGATAAAGCTGTTTTAAAAAATTTAATTTAATTAAAAATGCTCCCGGTGTCCGGACCCTTGTGGTGATTTGAGGTGATTTGCGGCGGTCGAGCGCCCCCGCCACATGAGGACTCCACGCGCCTTGGATCCCGTCCTAGGCATGGCCAAGTGGCTAGTGCGATGGCCTACGAATTTTTTTTTGACCTTTTGCCACAAGTTCGATTCTTATTTATCGTTAACTCTTTGCTTTTTTACTAATTAAAATTTTACCAGGGTTGAAAAAACCGCTTCGCGGCTTTTCAACCCTGGCCCCGTCCAGGACCGGTGAAAGTCCTTAATTTGCATGTTTCTTCCTGAATTCTAGCAAGAAAAAAGTGAAAAACGGCTCCTCTGTCCCTTTATATAGGCTCTTCCTACTTCCGGCGCATGCTAATTTCCCCTAACAAACAGGGTTTTACAAAAACCTATTTTTAATAGCGAAAACCACAATTTTTCCAAATTTTTATGTGTGTGCAGTCGATTCCGGGCCATTCTAAACCTATTGTCGTTTCTTCCCTATCCAAAAAACCCTTTCCCGAGGCTGTAGGAGCGGAACATCCTAACGGAAGTGCATGCAAATATACACACACACACAAACACTATTTTTTTTATATATAGTAGGATGCACCGATAACGGGTTCAAGAACCAAAAAGCAAAGGGTTAGCCAGCGCGAAGATTCGAACCCGAGGCAAAAAAATGTTAAAAAGTTGGTAGGCAAGCGCGCTACCAATACGCCAATGCAACCTGTCATGAACGCCTTGGCGGAGGGTTATGAATGGCGCCCTGCGCAGCCCCGAAAACGACGTGAACCCGGGAAATGGACCCGAAAACTAGAAAAAAGCGCGAACTTTAAATTAGATTTTCTAAAACACCTTTATCGATCAGCACTTTTTGAAAACGGGATGTTGCTCAGAATTTTTTTCTCTATCGAACTAGCTAGGTCCCGTCGAGAAACTCCAAAAGCACCTAAAAGCGACTCCTTGTCAGGCTCCAGATCTCGCGCTCTCTATCTATCGCGTTCTCACTCGCTCTCTGTCTCTCTCTCTCTATCTCACTCTCGCTCTCGTTATAGCTCGTTCTCCATCTTTCTCTCTTTCTCTCTTTCTCTCTATCTATATTTTCTTTCTCTATTTCTCTCGTCCCCGCTCGCTCTCTCTCTTTCGCCTACTCTCTCTCACGCCATATCGCTCACGCTCTCTTCCGCGCGCTCTCGTTCTCTTGTTCGCTCTCTCTCTCTCTCTCTCTCTCTCTCTCTCTCTCTCTCTTTCTCTCCGTTCAAACTTCCTTAATTTGCGTACCCGGATCCTTTAATGCACACTTTACCCGCTTCTCACCAGGTTTTCGACCAATTTCTCTTTCAGTCTCAACCGGATTATCACGAACAAACCGACCACTTTTTGCACGTCGTGTTCGAATCTGTGGGTGAGGGACGGGCCCCCACCCGGAATCTAATTGGACCCACTGAAAGAGGTCGGGCAGCCAGGGCCATTTGAGGACTCTCGTTTGCTTCTACGTTTTAAGAGGCCTTTAAAGTCCTTAAAAAAACCCAGAAAATTCCTGGTTCCAGGAAATTCCAGGAAAAGCCTGGAGATTTAAAATTCTTGCGAGTGGCTTTGGCTCGGGT